GAGGCACGAGGTGCTGCCTCGGCATTGTCCGCTGCTGAGGGCAAGCTCCGCTCCGGCCACCTCTCCTGAGCCACAGGCACCCTCCGATCTCCTTCCAGGGAAGACATGACCAAGCCACACTCATGTCCTGCAGGTGATCCAGGCAGAGGGATCATGAATCAAGGATCTCATTATGAGTCGGGGACCCGTGAGAGCCCCAATGACAAAATCTGCAGAGGAAGCACAGGATCCAGAGACATGCTTCAAATTGACCAGTTGGGTAAATCAAGGCCATGGTTAGACGAGGTGAGAGTGGAACTGGGACAGAAACACTGTTACTCAGCTTAAATGCCACCCAAGATTGTAGAACAAAAAGATTATGCTAAAACAATTAAATAATAAATTCAACAACAGCTATGTCTAAAGTGTCATCAGTGAGCTTTAAAGATAATACTCGGTCAAATGAAGAAGGCAGCTCCCTTCTGTATTTTCAGGCAAGCACCAGTTTTGGATGCTGACATAGCATTAGTTCATCTACGGTTTTTACCCACAAATAAACTACAAAAGCTACAAATTAGGAGGTTAAAGTGGGAGTATATGTAATAGAGTATTGTTACTTAAAAGAGAGAGAAGGTTCTTGAGAAACTGATTTCTTTTTCAGATAATAAGCTTGCATGTTTTTTTTACAGCATTCTGCCTTGTCACATTCCCCAAATCCTACCTCTATCTTCAAGCCAGTTTCCTCGGGTTCAGTTTTCCTCATCAGCCACCATTAAGGTTTCTCTCAGCCAGCACTTCTCGGGCATCACCTCCCTTCCCAGTCACGCATGGGGCTCGAAGCCATTCACGCTGTCTGAAATCCCTCGCGCCGCAGAGCATGTAAGCAGTGCAAAGTGTGGTCTTGCTTTCATTAGCAGTGATTTTGGTCTGGGGTAAGCAGCGTAATGTATAAAAAATAGCAAGTAATACAACAGTGTTAGTTTATGACATTTGCAGTTCACACAGGTGCTCAAAATAGTTAAAAGTACTTTTTTGAGAATACAAGTTAATTTAGCATGATTATAGTACTACTGGAAAGCCTCAGAGCGACAGCAACGGCAACTGAAGTGCTTGGGTTTTTCCCCTCTCCATGGTAAAAGGTATAGCGAGGAAGTACATTAAGATATATAAGCACCTAGGACAGCGATTCCCAAATTAGGTCTCTTAGAAGTTTTAGGTCCATTATCTGTATTCCTATTTGCAATTACAAGGCCAACGGAAGCAGGCTTGTAACTGCAAATACGACTTCCAATCTGAAGCATGGGTCCTCATTACAAAAATTCACAATTGCTGATTAGGCATAAAGCTCTTTATGAACTTACAAAAAGGCTAAATTATGATGTACAAATGGATGGTCAAATTAACGTTACTTTTGGTACATTATATTTTGCAATGAACCAAAAAAGACATTGGAAGCAACAGGGTTTTTTTTTTTTTTTTATGGCTTTTACCCTATCAACAGAGTTCCCATACTGACTGCACAAGGATGTGTGTCCTAACGTCACAAGGATGGTAAAGTCAATCCTAGACTCAGAAGCTAAACTTCTTATGCAAGACTTAAAAGGAAGAGACTATCGTAGTTTGACACCCACTTTTGAAAATCTCATGTTTAACAGATTAACTATTTGGCTTAAGTGATGAATCTTGTCATACTGTGCAAAAATAAAAAAGTTACATAAGAGAAATTGTGTCAGATTTTTACAGCAAGATTAACTTCGTAAGATTAAAAAGACACAACATATGTAATTTTAAATGCTCTCTGCCTTGGGAATTTCTTGAGTTTAGATTAATTCATTCTCCAAAATTTGCACATGACCATACGCACTTCTAGTAACCTTGACTTCTCAATAATTATTGCAATTATGCTCCTAGATGTTTTCACAGCAGGACCTGCAAAAATGTTTTCATTTTTCAACGGTAAACTTAATTTTGCAATCTAAGAGCAAAATCCTCATTCAAATATCTCTCCAGTACATTTTTAGCAATTTTCACTTAAGAAGTGTTTTACCTCTGCCGTCTTCAGTAGCTGCCCAGGGTGTAAAAGTGTAAAAGTGTAAAGTGTAAAAGGTTGTTTGTTATTATGGGTCATTTATCTCCTTACAGAAAGCCACATAACAAGTGTGTCTTTGTGCAGCAGCGTCAGTACCTCTCTTCTGAGGCGACGTGACACAGTGACATTCACAAAGATGATGAGATATTTTCAGCCACCTGAAGTAGCGTGAAGGCAGGGCAGGGTCACCAGGGATTGCCTTTGTCAAATCTGCAAACTACTCCGGAAAACTTACACACATAAAACACAAATATGGGGATGGGGAAAAAAGTATTCACTCATACTTCAGTTCCATGAGGAAAGATGATCTCACTAGACAGGCTCTTCCCATTCAGCTACACGAGGAAGGGAGTCACCCTTCACCAAACAGGTTCAAGAGTTAAGGACAATCCAGCTGGGTGTCTGAAAAGCCTGGGGTGCAGCCACAGGAGCGATTCCTATCATCCGCTCCGGCCTGCAGTCTTCTCCCCTGGGCTTGCCGATAGGAATCGGTCTCCGATAAAGCAGAGGATGAGAGAGGAGCACTGCTAAACAGCTCTCTGTTCACGTACTGGTCTCTGCAGGAAAGTATCATGAAAGCCAGTGAAACCTACAAGTCCTTTCTTACTCTATAAAGAATTGACCTTCCTTTTGGGTCGGCCATATACATAACATACTGAAACTTGTAAACCTGGAACACACAATAGATTCTCTTCTGAGTAGTTATTCATTATATTATGGCAATATATCATATGACGGCAGAAAATTTCGCTCCTCCTTGTAAAGGTTAATCCTAGTATACAACACTTCAGCTTGAAGTTTCACGTGAATACGGTAATCGGATGTTTGCATTAACCTCTCATCCAGCTATATTTCAATTGTAATAGCCTACTATATTTAAATTTTGATTCATTTTAATAAAAATGAAAATAAAAGCTAACTTTAAAGGCCCACGTCCTAGGTTAACAGAAATGCTTTGGGAACTTTGACCAAGTATTTGCTCTATACCTTCAGGCTGCGCATACAGCCAAAAAAAATTAAACATTTGGGCATGCATTATAGTTACAACTAATCATGCAATATTAAGAAAATGTTTTAAGCATTCTACTTACAAAGGGAAGTTGATCCCAAAAATCCATCATCAATAAAAATCTCTTCATTTTGCAATGGGCAAAGTTCGGATCAAGTCCGAAACAAATTAAAGAATATGGACAGTTAAGTCTTGGGAGGGCTCTTCCTACTGGCTCCAGCATTCCATGGAATAAGTCTATATTACATTTCAAGCCCCATACTTCAAGGCACTGAGGAAAAAACCTAAATGTGTAATAAAATGGTTGAATCTATGTTTTTTTCTTTATTTTATCCTTCTGTTGCTGAATTAGGCATGCAACGTCCATGTTTTCTAAAAAGAAAAATTCCAAAATATGTTATGAAAAAGCTGTGGAAAACTCCCATGTATCCATAGCAGCAAATAGTTCTGCCACTGTCAGTAAAATGGAAGAAAGAATAGTTTTACTTAGAAGCCAATAAAAAAAAGCTACTGAATGCTTGAATATATACTGCTGATACCCATATTTGAATATATTCCATAGCTCTTCCTTCCAAGTACCTTTTTTATAAAATCAACTTCCAGGCATCTTTGTCCTCCTACGAATTGCCTTTTAAAAAAAAACTTGTGCTTCTATTCCACTTATTTGCACTCTCCATTTCTACCCCATTAAACATCCAGCTCGGTATCGGTCTCCATGGAATTTCTCCTGTTTCTTTAAGGCACTGACAATCACAGTAATTTGAAGAAAAAAAAAAAAAAAGCAACTTCCTAACTCAAGCTGTCACAATTTGATAACTATGCTAATTATTTTCTCACATTTAGTCTGAATAGAAAACTGTGATGATAGCTTTTGAAAAAGCTAACCTACAGAGCAGTTACTTTGCACTAACAGACTCTTAACCCTTTAATATTCCTAGGAATGATTAAAACTTGAAGTGCTATTGCTGTCTTCTATAATATTTATCTAAACATTATGATAAACTTAACAATTCAGTATACTTTTAAAAAGTTAGGACTATGAAGCTTTAATATGAAGGATTTTACTTACTTGGACATTATTTGGATAATTTGCTTGCTTTCCATTTCATTTTAAAAGGTACTGCTTGTAGCCTATTTACTGGCTTTTCTTGAACAGTTTACATACTTTATTTACACCCATAATCACCTCCTTACTAGGAATTAGTTTTGTAAGACAATTCTACACAAAATTTGGTCAATCTCTTTCCTAGAGAGGGCTTTGTCTAGTGCTCATTCCTAAATTTTCAGGATGTAAGTTAGATCCAACCCATTCACATAGTCTCTCTCATATGACTAAGGCCAGGGTTGGGTAATAAACCATCTGCTTAAGCAAGTCAGCAAAACACGGCTTGCACGTAGTAGTTCTGTTAGGCAACGTTAACTAAACAAGCTATTTCAGGCAAGATATACTACCCCACATGCAAACACAGCATACCCATACTCCTCTAATTTCCCTTGAAAATTAAAGAAAATCTTGCCCACCAGTGAAAATGGGAGCTAGAAGCAAACCTACCAGTCTGTATCTGTCCTTCCCCCCCCCCAAAAAAAAAAAAAAAACCAATAACCAAATATCACGCCCAAATACTAAAATCTTTGCAAAGGTAGAAAAAGGCAAAAATAGAAACTTTTCTTAGCAGAATAGGACAGAGAAAAATCTAATATTCATTTTTACAGAAGAGGAAAACAAATGCAAGTGCTGAATTACTTATCAAATTCTAGTCATCACCTATTCCTAAGAACCAAATTCTACCTAATATATTACAAAAGTTAATAAAACTAACATAAACAGAATATTAATTCATACAGACCCTAGATTTTATTTCTTCTCAATTTAAAATATATTTATTGTCCTTACTAACATTCATTTAAAATTAGTAACAGCTGAATTACAAAACCAAAAAGCAACAGAAAACAACATACTTTTTTTTTTTTGCATGTGAGAATCAAATGTGTTACTCAAGGAACAAATGGATTGCACTTTATTATAAATATTCACAACTTTACAGAAGAGCAACATGTCAGTTTTGTGAATGCTCATAAAAACCACAGCAAATATTAAAAAAATAGACATTAAATTTCTGTATATTGCATTTCAAGGTTTTATCACGTGAAAAATCTATATTCTGTATAAAGTATCAGTAATTAAATATATTATGCAGTGCATCTCCAAGATAAAATTTTTATATACACAGAACATGTATTAGTAGTAGCTCCACAAAATAAGTCAGTCACATAACTGAGTAGAGTGATTGTAAACCAGCTGTACTTAAATACAAAGCTATGTTAACTTTTCAGTTGGAGGATGCAGGATTAGTCTGGTATGAAATATTGTATTAAGTCTTTTAAGGTGACACTAGCTAGAATAGTTCTTAAATTTTTAATTGGAATAATGCAAACTGAGCTGATAGACTGACAAGAGGAAAAAAAAAAAAAGAAAGTTTTCTAAAACAACCTGTGGACTAAAGATAAAAGAAAGGATTTTAATGGAGATAAGAGAGTTGAATCTTCTCTTAAAAAAAAAAAAAAATCCAGAAGCACCACAAGGTACTAGCAGAAAAATGTATTAGGAAAATGCTAAACATTACAAGCATGAGGGAAAATGCCTCCAAACAATTAACACCTTTTGGTGTTCATAGAGAACTTAAAAACGAGACAGCTCCTTTCACGATCAAGGGCAAAAGGTCCATGAAATCTCCTTCACTTCTGCTGTGTTCTCCTTTAAGCAGTTAAATTAACATATACTTCCGTATACACATGGATTTCTGTGAAAAACTGAAGGTGCACTGAAGCATATTTATACAGGTTAAACAGGCAAATTAAATGAGGAGACAGGAACTATATATCAAAACACAAGCTTATGAAGTATAGGGACAAAAATATAAGGTTAAATTTTCAGCAGCTGGTTTACATATATTCTCTGAATTATGTCACAACTAAAGTTAAAGAATAGGGTAACATTTTCAATCATACATAATATTTTTGTGAAGCTAAAGCCTCAGATACTATATACATGTCAATAAGTAGGTGAATTTTTACAAGTAGCATATACAAGTTTTACATAGTGCCTGATTGCATACACAAGGGAAGGAACAATCACATAAATATAGCTTTACATTACTTGGATTTGCCAAATCAGGTTCATGAGATGAACTTACAGAAGATACATATTTGCCTTCTATTACCAGTTTTTACATACAAAAACTCAATTAAGAAAATAATTTAAAAAATGTTAAAATATACGTACGTAGAGCTGGACAGCAGAAAAATCTAAGTAACGTCATACGATTACATCCCGGAATTAACTGCATTTTTAACGTTTACAGGCAGCATACACAATGAACTTTGGAATGAGTGCTCTGATTAACATGATGACACGCATCAATTAAAATTTCTTTCTTTTGTTAGTCACAGCTACACAGAGGCAATTATGATTTTTTGAAGGTTCAGAGTAGTTTAAAAGGGGTCTTTTAATTATGAAGGTGTTGCTAACTTGTCAGTCCAGAAAGAAAGAAATGAAAATCACAACTAGAGCTATTCCTTTCTGTGTGTTGCTTATGTTTGTTCAGCCTGTTTGTTCATGATTATTTGGAGACTGGTTATAGAAGTTTAAAAGCGTAAATATGAATGACATGAAGATAGACATGTTTTAGTGGTAGTACAGGCATGTAATTAAGGATCTAGGAAATACCACTGCTGTTGTTTTTCCAACAACAGAAGTCAGTATAGCAAAAGCTCTTACTGATATTCTAGTAATATAACACTTAAGTTGTGTAAGAGACAAGAATAAAATTAAGAGAAAAATATTAATCCATAATACTAGGCTAGAAGGGGATGAGACAAAACACCCTCTTTGGTGGAAATATAAATAGCATCTTAATGAATCAAAAATAAATGTAACCCCAGAAAATAAATTCAGACATTAAATATTCAGAAGAACAATAAAAATACTATGCTAAAGCAATTTATTTCCTTTCATTAAGATGTTTTTATCCTTGACTCCACAAAAAGTTAACCTACTCTATTTTTGGTAAACGAGAGCTGAGCAAGTGACTATTAACAGAAACACAGCCTATAAATAGATAGCAGAAGAAAAAAAAAATCTGCTTTTCGCTCAGCACACTTTCTGAAACTCGTCAGTGAAACAAGCAGTGCAGGATTAGCTTCTACTTAATCAGAACACTCAGTTTTCCCATGCCATTTTATGAAAGAATATTTTTTAATTCCTGCATTTTTAGTACATTAACACAATTGTGCACACTCATACAAACAGAAGATCTGAGACTACAGTAACAGTTAATTTAGGTTACAACTTCAATTGAAGTAAAAACACAAAAAACTGAAGAGCAGCAATAAGTAGGCAGTTGAATATGGGTGCTGTAAACAAAACACATCTAGCAGCTTCTGACTGTCAACTCATAGATTTCAAGGTGTTGATTAAAGCTTTATTGTTTACATTATCCCTAAGGTGAGATGCTCCATAAATGTGTGTGCTAGACTGCTGAACACCCAACCGTCTGTGATTGTATTACACATATTTAAAGCAATAAAGCAGGAGACGTTTGCCTAATACATAAAAATTTTCTGTCTTTTTATAATATTTGTACAACACAGAGGGCATTTATCCACTGCTTCAGCACATTCCTTACAAGCAACTAGGTGACCACAGGGAATAAGGACTACTGATATGTCTTTAGCCATGCAGATTTTACAAAGCTTTTCTTCCTGTAAACGTCTCAGCTTCTCTTCAGTACTAAGATCTGAGGAAAAGAAACACATAGAAAGGAATTAACATACTTTATCATAGCATCTAACCTCATTTCTTTTCCTCCCCACACAAGCACTACGTTTTCTTCATAAGATATAGAAGTCACCCCTTTAAAAAGAAAGGGAAAAATACAACAAATAGGAAACTAAGCTGCAACCTGGAATTCCTTGTTCACCATTTTGCATCCCATTACGTCTCCCAGACCAGTACAAGCAATATATGTATATGTGTGTATACGTGCAAGAGCTTAAAATGTCTATGGAATCTAGGATATGCGTATCTCAATCAGGAACCAATCTTTTTAGCCTTCCCACTGACAACTTTCCCAAAACTCATAAAGAAGGTGAAAGAAAAGCTCATTGATACTGGTTAAATAACTTGAATTTCACCTTTCCAGTGAGATTCCTCATTTAATTACCTTCCATGTGATTTCCTTCCACGCATTTTTTTTGAATGTCATACTTCAAGAACTTAAAAAATTGTAATATAGAAAGAACCAATTTTGCATTCTACATTAACTCTATATTATTCTAGTATGGTGTATTTGAAAACACAATCTTCAAAAGGCTTCTCCTCCCACTTGGAAAAAGCTCCCTATAGCCACAAAAATAATGCCTATCTTATTTGAAAATTCTTCGCTCCCCCCCCAATGTCCATTTAAAATCATCTTAAAAAGAGTAGGCTGGTAAGATCTCTGTCTATCATGTCAAACAGATGGCCTGTTCCCTCCCTATGAAATCACCTATACGCATACAAGTCTCCCGAGTCAGAAATCTTTCTACTGGCACAGCGTGTACCACAATGCCTTTCTGAGCATGACTTGTGTATCCTAGCATGGCTGGAATACAAAAAGTTGAAAAGAAACACCACCTAGAAGTACATTATTTCTTACTGACCAAGAAGGAAAATGCTTCTATTTGCTATTACAACTAATATTAATTTTTATACTTGAAAAATCTTAGCAGGGTTACTACATGTTTTCAGGTTGCGTATACTGAATATTTGACAGCATGCTACTAAGCCTATTTTACTTTGCCACCAGAGTTGCCACGTCTGTAGCTTATTTTTAGTTTTTAAAACAACGTGTAATTGTCACAAAAATTATGACTTTTTAATATGTATGATCTTTCCAAGAAGTATGTTAGACTATTACTTCAACAATATACAGTTCTGCAGAATCAGTATTATTCTGTTATTTTGTAGGAGACAGAGTACTTGTAAATGCTAAGCTCAAATATTTTTAACACTTTTTTCCAGCACTTTTTATGTCCAAAAATACTTTATTGAACTTCATGTTACAATATTGTAACTTCACATTAAGCACTGAGTCAGAAGGTAGAAAACTAACTACAGGATATAGTTTAGTTTACAGATTACAGAGCTGTTATGAAAGTATGTATATATGTTTCGTAACTTAAGAAGTTCACCTTTCTCTACTGGGCTTTCATTTGATTCTTCTTCCTTTTTATTTTCCTTCTGAGCACTTATTAAGTCTGCTACTAGATCCTCAACAGACATATAATTTTCTCCAGACACCTGCACTTTCTTTTCCATAATGTTCTTAATCTCAGACAAGCTGAAACCCATGTGTACGGCATTCTGTACCAAACGATTTTGTAAGAGATTATCATCTAAAACAAAGAAGAAAGAAAAAAAACAATTTAACAAGAATCAACTTGAATATCTGACAGTATTCACTAGTCTGAGACACCTCTACAGTATTTAGCCAAGGCAACTACATTTCTGATTTGAGAATTTTGCTAGTTGTAAAAACCGCATTGTAAAAATGCGGAAAACTGCAGATTTGAGATTCCTTCAATACTAGTTTTCCCAGTCTCCCTTAATCATTTATAACATAAAAGTCCTCCTAGATTAGCTATTCAAATCAACTACTTCAACATTTTCAGTGTAACTTCGTAAAAAAAAAGTTGCCTTATTTAAATTAACATCACAAATTTCGTAACTGCATGTTAATTGAAATTCATCCAAAATCCCAAGGCACAATAGATACCTAAGTATTTGGTAATGTCACAAAAATTTGTGTCCCCCTCAGGCCCCCCCCCCCGAACTTTCATGCATATGGTGAGATAAAAAAATAAACTGAAATTATAAAACCAAAACACAGCACAATAAGCAATCACGAAATGATTTCTGAAGTAAGTCTCTCCATATTAATACACAGGACTACTTTGGGAAACCTTTTTTTAAGTCAGTTGTACCTCCTCCTCCCTTTTTGCAATGGAATTTTTTGAATAAGTTTGTCAGCCGTATGCCTTATTTCCCATTCTTTTGATTGCATGCAAGCAACTAATTTCTTCTTTACTTCATGAAATTGTTCAAAGAGATAAATTTTCTAACCTAATTCTCTCACAGGCAAGCACCGTTTGAGAACTTTCTAAAATAGGTTTTGTGTAACCACCTTTATTAGCAACAGCTGTCATGCCCTATGATGAAGCTGCATGGTTGTCTTCCTGCTTTCCCCTTAAATGTCTTGTTGTTTTATTGTTTCGTATTTGTGAGAAACGTTGCAGGAACCTGTAGTACTAGAACACAAAGCAAGCTATTTGAGCTTTCTCAGCATACTGCCATTTAACAGACTAACTCTTCCTTCCCTCATGAAAAGCAACAACGATTACTTCATGTAGGTGTTCTTTAATATTCATCCCACAGCACTACTAACTCAATACTTGATGCATGCTTATTAGCTATAAAGATAAGTATGCACCCTACTGGTACTTCTTTTATGGTTTACAAGCTTTACTTTATAGTATTTATCTATCCGTGCAACACTACGTTTCCTCTAAAAGAAATAAAATTGCAGTTGTTGAGAAGCAAAGAAAGAGTATCATTCAACAATTTACTTGCCACTCTTTATTTAAAAATGTAAAATGGTTATCTTTGAAATTAACCATTTCCTTTACTATCCATGTAAATATGGGTAGTCCAACATAGATTTTTTAAATGGATACCTTTAGGAAGTACTGTCAATTCAGCAGCTTCTATCTAAAAAAAATAAAAAAAATAAATAAAAAAAAAAACAGACAAAATTACAATTCTAGGGAGCACAGAAGGAAAGCTACACAGTTGCAAAGACAGAAAAGAGCTATTTGATCTGTCACTTTATTGAGTATGCCATTATTAAGAACAAATTCAAAAGGGATCAGTGTTTTGTTAGCTGTCTTTCATACTGTTTTACTTAAATTCTCTTTTTAACCCATCCTGGTTATAAATAACATGTATATGATCTTTGCCTACTGAAGAACTCTAAAAAAAACAACAGATTTATTTTTAGTGACTGTATACAAGTCTAACAATGTTCTAACTATCAACAGGAAATAAAAATGATCTATTACACTCAAATCAGGAAATTATCCATTCTTAACCTTTGGATCACAGGCTGCAAAAAGTACCATTTCTTCAGTACTAAATATACAACATATACCAGGTATCCTATCTCTTATCCACAATCTAACTAGGGAGGACTATGAGATCTAACACCCCTGAAAAACAGAACTGAAATATATTTCAGTGTGCTTCCCGTCAATGATAGAAGCAGTATGATGTATGATACTCAGGTGATTAGAAGAGTGACTTCATATGACAATTATATGTTATTAAGGTTTTTTTCTGTTTTCATAAAACAGTATTTGGTTAATAAGCAAAGCACTTACTGTGGGATCGCTGCAGCCATCTCTTAAGTGAACATTATTTATAAATTCTTGTCCCTTTTCTTGTCTCAGAAACCTGCATCTACAAACCAAAGTATTTAGTTATACTAAAGCTGCATAAGCAGCAAACAAAAATTGATTACATGATTTGAAAAGGTTCTATACAATTCCTGCATCATACAGAATCCTTGCTTTGAAATCTTCTCTAACTGTTTAAATGACATTATTGATGTTGATTAAACATTTCTATAAAAACCTTAAGTGAAAAACAATTAATCACTTCAGTCGTATGCATCTCTCTCACGTTTTTAGTGAAATGGAAAGCTAAATAGTTGTTCTCCATGGCATCTGCTGCTACAGGTTTATAAAAGTAAATACTCAAATGAAAGACTAATATTACTTTAAAATGTTGGTTCTTTTAGTTTTTTGTAATCAATGAAAAGCAGTCACGAAAAGCAGTGCCTTAGCCGATTTCTTTTGCCACTTTCCAACCACTGGGCATGGTTCTTCCCTACCAGAAGATTAAGAAATCGCCATGACTTCTTGATAGTAGCTTACTAGCTTCAGCAGTTCATGGACATACATAGCGTTCTATGAGACTCTGAAGCGCTGCTACTGATGCTGATATGTAAAGAAATAAACTCCATGAAAGATAGTTAACGATTTGAAAGGAAGTGATCAAATCTGGCATCATTAAAAAAACATTTAGGAGTAGTGAAATGTAGCAAGAAAATTTGTCTTTTAACCATCCGCAACACCAAGCCAAAAACTTGGAACGGCGTATCATTCAATTGGAAGAGACTAATAATTAAAAGCTGCCTGCATCACTTTTATTTAAAAAAAAAAAAAAAAAAAAAAACAAGGACCAGCTATTGCATAAATATTAACTTCCAGAGAATCTTTCACCGCAGAAGACAAGTTTGGCAACTATCACTAAGAGAGATCTTAGTGATCTTAAGAGTTTCTCATCTTTTTATACAAGTAACTAAAACTTTGCACTTGGCCAGTTTTTATTCACCTTTAAGCAGCAACAGCTCTCATACTATTCCTTTTCTTCCTCAAGATTAATTTAGTACGGAACAAGCAGGCTTTCTAAAAATTACTTCTAGGTCTAGAATCCTCATTCCTTTCAAATTATTTAGAAGCATATTTTGAATTCAATACCACTACTGGCTTCTTCAGGTTTGCTTGAACCAAGGCAGAAGTTTAGTCATTTCATATCCCGAAACAGATTAAAAACTTTGGCAAGCTATCAGAATAACAATTAGAATATCTTGTTTGGATAATGAGACAAAATCAGACCTGTATTCACAGAACTTCACTATTCTGCTGGATGAGATGGCAGTAGGTCCAGACACAAAATCTTCTCTGGTCTTTAATAATTCCTACAAACAAGCTATAAATACAATCCTGACTGGCCATAAATATAATACTGGCTTAAAGGTAAAGAATTTTAGAAGTTACTTTTTCACAGCAACCTTTCACCTCTAATGAGTTAGTTGTGCCTTCAACCTCTTGAGATTTATTTCTCTTTCCCACACACATTAGAAGAACTCTCACCTACCCGTCAAAGATGACATTCAGTTAATGGCCTCTTCTGAGACTGCCAACATATCACTAAAGGATATATTAATGCTTATATGTATAATAGTAGGACTACAGCAAGGTGGAACACACAGAATAACAAAAATAAGGACCCCACGCAAAAACTTCCCTACAAGCTTTTCTTAAGAAGGAAAAACGTAAACCACTGAAGAAGACTGTTATGCTTTGGGTGCCTATGTGACAAAAATGAAGGATGAGAAGAGTGAAAAAGGCATGAGAGTAACCAAAAAAAAAAAGTAAGTTCTTTTCATAAAGCTAAACAATGTTAAGCCATAATCAACCTTCTGCAGTCCTTATTAGTAAATTCTGTCATTAAGATATAGTATACTGTAAGTGAGACTCAGACATGCAACAAGAAAATACAGTAAAAATGTGTTACCCAGGAAACCATTTGGCATGTTGATCCCAGGGGTCTTCATTTTCCTTCCACTCTTGCAATCCTCCACCACAGTAGAAGCAAGCAACATGATCACCATTACCTGAGCAAACATCCAAGGAAAAAGTTACATGCTTCTAGTATGCATAAAAATGATTCTTCAACTAAAACTTTACACTGCTAAGAAAAAAGCATTTATTTTAATAATTAGCAACTACAACTGAAAAGAATGGTTTTAAATGAGAACATTATAAATATGACCTGAAACAAACGTTCAGAAAAACCTTGTGCTTAAAAAATTACAAAATAAGATTCATAAAGTGTTTCTGAATTCTATTTCAGCAAGTAATTATACAGATAAAAATAGAATGCTAAAAATATTCTATTATCAGATAGCACATTCCATTGGTAAACGAGCCATTAAGTAGTCTAACAATTTATTTGAAAGAAATTAATGCAACTTTATCTGTCCTCATGACCAGTCTTCTGTTTTCTATTTAAATCACAGTTAAGCAAGAGTGGAAATTATTAATAGAAACACAATTCAAAGAGATGCTTGTATGCCTTTTTGGTCCTCCATTTCACTGTTAAGATTAACAGACTCCACACAGCAGCAACACAACTGGCTGAGAGGACGTCAGAAGAAATTGCATTCTCTCCGTTCTAGCACCGTGCATGCTGCAATCAAAGACTGCATCACAAACTGTTTAGATATCGTGTTTAATGAAATGAGAGAAGGCTTCAAGTATTGCCCATATATCACCCATACAAGAATGTATCAACAGTTTTATTCAGGGCAACAAGTAAAACAAATGGAATCAGATGAGAGTTCTGAAAGCTACTAAGAGTTAAGCCAGTTAAGATGAGAACAAGAGATTATCCTGGATAATCCCCTTTTCTTTGTGACCTAATAATAGTAATACTTTGCACTTGTACAGCATCTTTTGGTCAAGAATTTCAAAGCGCTTTATGCGCAGTTAAACCTAATACAGAGCCATTACAAAGGTGTCAGAGTCTTATTCCAATTCATACACTACATTTCTAAGATTAAAGCCTCTCCCACTCTAGAGTCATTTTCCTCCTAAAGTTTTTACAGTGGGTGATGACAGCATTTGCTCGTTTTAAGTGTTAGGATGCTATGATAATACAAATGCATAATAACCAATTAAAATGGCACACAACTGGACTGTCTTGTTCACAGGCCTGTATACGAACCACAAGTCCATGTTCTGTTTCTTAGACCTGAGCACAATATCTGCAGGACAGCATTTTAATTTTTCTAACGTTAACTTCAATAATTGTCATTGGGAAAGATATCTCAAGAGGGTTTTGCAACAGGCAAGGAGAACACACTTTAAAGTTTTAATGCTAACAAATAATTTGCGGCTAACTTCACATCAAGTAGTTTTAATAGCGAAATATGATATATGTTATTTTGTAAGAGTAAAAATTATGAAAATAACTTCAGGCAAAAAAAGTAGTTTACAGAACAAAGATAAGCAAGTAAAATGACTTTCAACTCTTCACTAAGAGTTAAGTTTTGGCAAGTCATTCAACATTAGAATTACAAAATGCGTACTAAAATCACGTCATATAAAGTTTTTCTTGTAAAAGTATTACCAATTTTCAGATTTGGCTTACCTATGCTATAGAACCCAGCTTTGGCAAGTTGCTCCTTGTTAACAGGGTATCTCCAAGTTAAAAAGGTTTGTATCCGTCTTTCATATTCTGCCATAGATGGATTCCTCGGATACTGCACATCGTTTAGCTCAGCACAGACAGCTTCATTTGGAACGTTTCCAACATCCCGGCCCAGGACAAAAAAGCATTTGGGAAAATGCCTCTTGTGTTCTGACCAAGCTCTATCACTAGGCTCCCAGTTTTTCAGTTTTCCACCACAACAAAAACATTCCACTTGATCACTAACACCTGTATAATAAAGTCCAGCATTAGCTAATTCCTTTGGTGTCAACAGGCCATAAAGGGGCCAGTTATGAAAAGACTTTAATCTAGCTTCTTCACTGCACATTGCAGGGTTTTTAGGATACAAAGTATCTGACATATCCACAACCTGCCTAGTTCTCAAAAGGTAATCAGCTTCGACATTAGATGAGTCATCTAAAGCATAGGAGATGGTTGAATCGCTGGAACAATTTTCAGTTCTACCTTGGCAGTTCTGGACAATAGGATGAATATTATTTTCCAAAAAAGTAGATTCCGTAATAAATTTGCAATTTGGGGAAAGGTTTTTATGTTTTTCAAAGGCAGAATCTCCATACTCCCATCCTTCGATAGTTGCATGACAACTGAAGCACTTCACTTTATCACCTTCTCCAGTATAAACAAAGCCAGCTCGTGCCAGTGCTGATGCAGAAACTGGACAATCAAATGGAAATTTAACAAAAGTTGCCAGTCGGTAGTGTTCCTGTGCCCATTCCTGGTCACAACCAGTGTCTGAAGTGGCACAAGCTTGAGAGTTTTCTGGGCTGTTACACGTCATCTCTTCGTAAGCAGAGTTCGCCTTGCGGATGCCCTAGACAAAGCATATACTTTTTAATTTCACATACAAGAGAACCCATTATACACATATGCAAGTCTGGGAACTGGCTAAACTAAAGTAGCCATCCTTTATGTATTAAAAATGTCTTCTCCTTTTCACTACCATCTCACCCTCCTCCTCTACCCCACAGAATAAATAACAAGGGGCGGGGGGAGAAAGAAAATGGAGTTTCCCACATTACAAAATCTGACCAATAAAAATTTACCTGGAAAACATACAGGTGATATGTTTATAGCTTTAAAAAAAGTGTTCTATTTCTTAACAAACATTATAAGAACAGAATTAACAAATTATTTAGCAAAAGGTCTGAGCAAAGCCCTACAAAAAGGCTTTGAAATCTAAGATATGAGGTAACTGATTTTAATATACTGATCTAAGCCACACCACATTTGCAAGGTTTTACAGCTCAGTTTTGACACTTCAATTTTTTTCCACGACCACCAGGCCCATCTTCAGACCAGTGCCTTAACTGGCCATATCATCATCCAAAAGGAAAAAGCTTTTAGATCTGTTTTTATTTTGTAACGACCTATACCTCAGCCTTCCTTTTAGCAAAGCATCTGATTAATTGAACTAACAGAGGATTCATTGGAGCACTTTACAAAGGCACTGTGGTCTACTTTTAAGATCAGTACCCTGTCTGCATGCTCTGTCAAAAGTACTAGCTCCCTTGCCTCTGCTGGCACCTCAGCTTTTCTTCTCCCTCCTTCCTGCAGGGAGCTCGTTAGCCCTACCACCCGTCCCACGTTCCTGTTTCTGCCTACACTTTGCCAGTATGAATACTGCTAGCCCTGCCCTCCTGGGCCAGAGGGCTAAGGCTGTGCAAAACAGTGAAAAGAGCCCCTTCTTTCATAAGGATGAGAGAAAGCAACTTGGTTCCCACTGGCCATGTGCAAGAACCACAAACTGACAGAGTCATGACCTTCATCCCAAGATGGATAAAGTCGGAGCACAATAAAAGCTCATATCTTGTTCTGACAAGTGCAGTGATACTAATATTTATTTTCTTAGGTCTCACGTAAAATGCAGGCTACTACTGACAGGCATCTCAAGCTTACTCCTTTATTAAGTGGTAAAAAAAAAAAATTATGAGACTGCCCAAATAAACTCCATTAGTACAAAACAATAATTAATCACTTAGCAAAAAAAAAATGCATATAAGGAAGAACAGAAGGTATTTTTCTATTTGAGCGTCTTCCTCAGTTTTCTGTATGAATCCTGAAATACCTCCATTTCCATTCCTCACCTGTATGAGGTAGGCTATCAGGCACACATTTTGCAATGGCAGTAGTGCTATGGAAGTAATAGCACGGAAAGTTGGAAAATTTGGGAAATAGTCTCAAAAACACTAACAGTCAGTCTAAATCAGATCTCTAGCACTGCTTGGAAAATATAACTAGAAAAGATTCATTATTTGCTTATTTGTTTCATTCAACAGAAAGAAACTGCACTCATTTCTCATCTATAAATGCTCCATAGAGTATATGATACAATCAGAAGCATTATTGCTCATATAAAGCACTCAAAAAGTCATGATACTGTAAACCATAAGACTGCCCTAATATTACATAAAATCTTTTATTAAAAACTGCAGTCTGGAAAGAACATGAGGAAAAACATGAACTTTCCAAGACTCTTGATTAACTACAGAATTTGTAGCGAGAACATACCTAATCTTGTGATATTATGATGTGGCTAGAAGTGGATATGAATTTTCCACTGAATGAACCAAAGCACAGGTCTGCAGATACATCCAGACAGAAAGTGAACACACTATAAGTTAGTGCCTTGTGGAAGAAACAAGATCTATTTAACAGCCAGGTCATCTGGGCTGCCTTCTTCTGTTCTTGCCAGGAATATCTTAGCTCAGATATTTTGGGCAAGGTGATACCCATTTTGGCAAGGTGACACAGTCCTTAAAGTTAACTGTCATAACAGTTAGTGCCCAAGAAAGGAAAAAGATACTGTTAATATAGCTAATGCAGCAAGACAGTCAGAAAATCATATTCTGTTACAGAACTACTATTACTTAAGTGTATTACTTTAATCAGTAACATGCTTTACTGGCAAAAAAACCCTACATTTCTCAGAAAGATAAATAAATGTAAAGAGATAAAGGCAGCATTGCAAATCAGAACTGTTCCCTGCTATGCACTGCTGAATAGTTTAATCTTCAGTAGGGGAGGATCTCACTTACTCTGGAGGGGTCCAACACAACTTATCAACTGGAATGAAAAATTCAGACACCTAAATTAATTCAGTTGCTTTTCGTTTACAGCACCCTTTGCTCAAGTAAACAAGGTCATGTAACCAATTCTGCCATTGTTTCAGCAAATGCTGCCCAGGTGCAGAGCTTGAACTAGTAAGAGAGAAGAATTTTTTTCAGGTACAAGTCAGACTCAAACTTCTAGAGTTGTGGTTTCTTGTCCTACATACTTTGAAGTCCAAAATATATTTAGAAAAAAAAAAAAAAAAACGAACATCACACAAGTTTACCATTTAATAACTACAATTTTAAAGTGCTAGATCCTAATCCTAAAAATACTTACAGATATGCTTAGCTAGCTTTACTACCAGTAACGTCATTAAAACCAGCAGATGTCTCGTACCTTTGCTTACTTTTATTCCTGTAAGTGTCTGCAGGATTTAGAGCACAGTCAGGAAACAAATTATAGTTTTAGTTCCTCTCTTAAAGGACATACTAACATTTTTAGCACCTTACAGAACCACTGTTTTGGTAGCAGTGCCATTAAACTGCACAGAAAAAAAAAAGACATAATGCCACATCAAAAACAGCATAAAATACGGAAAACAGTACTACGTTTATTTTAAAAGTTCCAAAAATATGCCCAGCAATAATCTTTGCACTAAGCCAACCACAAATTCTGTAGGCCAATTCCTCTTTTAGCGGTACCACACAAATACATGACATACCAAATCATCACATTCTGTGGTCAAAGGACATTTCTCTTCCTTCAATAGCTTCCAAGCTACCAGTGATTTATTTGAAAGAGCATAGAGCGCTTACAGGACAGCCCAAGACTAGATGCAAAACTAGCATCTGATCCTGAGACTTTTCACCAGAAAATTTCATATCCCTTTAAGTAGTTCCAGCTGCAAAAGTATTGCAATGCAGTCCCTCCATTTGAGGGAAAATACTTAGATGAACATCTAAATAACTTGTAATTGGTGGAGCTTCACTAAAAAAAAAAAAAAAAGGCCCACTGCTACTTATGCCATTACTGGTCTGTGTTCTATATCAGTAAGATATATAAAGCAAAACAAAAACTGGCCATCAGTATCATATGCACTTCACACTTATCATTCTACAAAAACATCTTCCATGTTGTCAGTGGTTTTGGTCAAAGATTTCAGTTCAATGCTCCATCACCAAAAAAAAAACAAACTTAATCCTTTATGACAGCTGCATTCACTCAAACAAAAGTGCTCACCCTTGAGATAGTTAAAAACATAAAAATGAAACAAAAAAACCACCTTAAAAAAAAACTTAACTCTGAAGACATCTAAAACCCAGTATGCCTTAATTCGGCTATGAGTTTTGTTCTCACTCCTCCTTCTGCTCAACACCTGCATTAACATTGATTAAACTTTCTGTAAGATCAGCACAGACGTTAAAATTACATTTGCTTATATAATACCAGACTTAGCTGCCACAGGAAGAGCAAGATCTTTTTTAAAGTGCAGGAGGGGGAGGGGGGGGAAGTACTGTGCATGGCAGGATTACTGCATCCTTTGCCAAAATGACACAGATAATTAACCAATAAGCAGGCTGAGAAAACATCATGTTAGAGAACCAGCATGTTTACTTTATGTAATCATAGATACGTGACTACACTTCTCAGTACCAGCTTTAATTATTTGTGTAAGTCATTTAGAGAGTAATGTAATGACTTACAGCGTGCTTTTCTGTTTAAGGTTTTTAGTTTTTTTTTAAAGAGCTTAGCAAATTAGAAAACAGCTGTTGAATAAAATAAATCGACAGACTCACAAATCTGACCTAGATGACTGTTTTGACTTTTGAAGGGCAAAATCAGTAATTACACGTAGCAATATGAAAACTGTTACACTACATGTACTTATATATGGAAAATTAACAATTTTTATAATACAAATTTAAAAGTTCATGTTTATTTCTTTTTAAAGTCTTACTTTAAATCCTCGAGCACTGTTTCCGTGAAGATCTCAAATGACCTTATGAGATTATCATTACTACTACGGGGCATTCATAAAATAATTTCACCCATATAGCCTTCGCTGCACACTAATTTTCTTTTTCGCGTGCCTAAAATATTTTCCATTAGAAGACTAACAAAGCCTACTTTGCATCTTTCAAAGCTCAGAAACTCCGTTCCAACATGTATGTTGAAAAAACAAAACAAATGCGTATGCTTTGAATGTACGAATAGCAGCATCTTTATTTCTATTTTACTCACAGAGAAACAAGTTGGGAAACAGTGCATAAAACACAACCCACCCCACTGAATAGGATTTGTATATATTAAATTTTTGGTTTATATTTATTTTGAAATCAGAATAGTGCAGCATAATGCCTCTCTTTTTAGTCTCGGCATACAAAACAACTGATGCAAATCACAGATGATCTACTCAGTCATTCTCCGACCTTAGTGAAAGAAGTAAAATCTAATCGGATTAGGGTTCAAGTATGACAGATCTCAAGAATTCACTGGAGACACAGAGGTCCTCCCTTGGTTTCTGTTTCTTTTTTCCATACATGTTATTTGGTGACCATATACTCCAATGATAAGTATGATATATCAAGTTACAAAATAAACAGTTAAGAGATAAAATTAATTATGCCTATATTTCTGATAAGCTACCTACGTGTTCTACTTCAAGCACCACTTTTTAAAGCACTGCATTAACATAACTCATCTTTAAATTATTCCATTCTGGGAAAAATAAAGTCTGATATGGCAGTAAACGTATTGAAG